AATTCTGAGGGTTGCAAAAAACATGTCAAGTACAGAAAAGCATGGCAGTTGCTTGTTTTTCTTTCATAAGAATATAATAGTGTATTTCAAATAACTTCATTACCCTCCTTTGCAAGAAGTCCAGATTCTTGCTGAATCCAGCTGTCTGCAATCTTTCCTACTTTAAATCACTTCAAACTGTCAGAGTGCTTTAACAGTTCCTCTGTAGGTGAAACAGGCTCTGTGGCTTCTTAGAAGCTGGACTGGGCCAGGTCTTTATTGTATGAGAGTAGCGCAGAGATCCTTAAACCAGGTGATAATCCCGATAGGAAGCGGTGTAAATGTCCATAGCGCTGAGTGCGGGAAGGTGCATAAATACAGCACCAAAGTGTCCTTAAACGGTACCCTAGTCACTCGCCTATCAAAATCAAAAACGGGCATCTCTTGCCCCAGTTCCTCCATGCAGGGGTCACAGTGAAATGAAAGTTTCCTAAGAGGGCTATTTAGCCTAATGGCCAGGACACTCAGCTGGGAGGAAGATCAAAACAGCAGTCTTTGAGAGGGGGACTTGAATCATAATTAGACTTCAGGTGTATTTAAGTCTATCGAAATCCTTTATAAGAACCTATGCATTTTTTGGATCTGAGCCTGATTGTCTCTTTGGATTAGCATTGGAACTATATTAGGATTAGGACTGAAACTGGATCAAACATGGTCAGAACCTCTCAACTCTCGCTCATTTGTATGCATTTGCAAGGCTTGAAACCCCAAATCATTCTTCTTTTCTCAAAAGATTACCCAACCCTTTCCCTGTAGGCCTTTCCAATCTGATCAGGCAAAGATTTCAGCTACAGCCATGAAAGAGCTGTCATCCATTTATCCAGGACAGACAAACACTGGGAGAAAAGTTTTGTTCAGAGTCAGATGCAGATACCATGCAGATGGAGGGACTGTAAGCCAGCAGCTTCTTTTCACCTCTCTTCCCTTCACGACCTAGAAGATGAACTGTACAGAGGAACAGGGCTAGTAGAGGGAAAAGAGGGTCCACCATCCAGAAAGCTCTGCCTGCCTCTCGTCAAGAGATTGCTAGAACAGCAACTTTTAAACAGATTTATGGATTTGGAGATGTGGAAAGAGGTGTTTCTAGCAATGACAAGCCTCTTGGTTCGCTTAAGAAACTCTCTGCAAGCTAAATTGCAGTTTTTTTAAATGAATCCTTTTTTCTGATGAATTTCCCGAAGTTAACAAAACAAAACATCTGGCAAATTTATTTTAAATTTCCATAGCAGGAAAAGCTTAACAGAAAGTAATGATTTTAGTGAAGTGAAAGAAAAAGAGGTGATTCAGCGTTCACAGAGTAGTCAAAAAGAGACTGCCAACTCAATCCATTCTTCTAAGAACTGAAGTATTTTAACACCTCGGGTTTATTCAGGAAAAGTCTTGATCACTTTTAGCTCTTTTGCTTCTAATTTTCCTCTGCCACCATCCATTGCTATTTTTCCCTGAGCACTTCCAGTTCCAGCTGCGGTGTTAAGGTGTAACTACTGCACTCTGTAGCTCGGTGCTTGATCTCCGCAGGAGCTGCTGTCTAATTAATTTTGTGACTTGGGTCCACTGTGATGTAGGAAAGCAGACCCAGCAAGGCTTTCATTTTGCAGAATTGACATTCAAGTCACTGGAAGTGTCACTCATGGAAAGCCTGCAGAACAGAATGAAATGATTTCATCTAAACAAATGTTTTCTCAATTACTCTGCAATGCTACTCTAATTGGGAGCTGAGCAAGAATGACATCCCAGCCCCATTGAGCTCAATAGCAAAACTTCTGCTGAACTGACTGAACTGCTGAACTGACTGAAGCATCTTTCTTCCTTGATACACTTTAAGATAACTATTGGAGGTGTTTGGGCATACTATAGGAAGTAATGGGGTTAACTTTGTCCAGTAGCCTGTGCTTCTCTCTAGACAGTTCTCACTATATAATTATCCCTTCCTGATTAATTTGTTGTTGTTGTTTTTCCTCCCCTTTTAGAATTAAGCTTAGACTTGCTAAATTTTACCCAAGTATTTGTAGATTTGCACTACATTAAAGGATTCGCTCCCTGTCTTTTGTGTATCACTTTGTGTTTGTAAAGGACTCCAAGAAATTTTGAGGTGAAATACACTGCATGCAAGTACAGCAGTAATAATAATAATAATAATAATAATAATAATAATAATAATAATAATAATAATACACTTTCCAAGGAAAAGGATGCTGAAAAACAACAAAAAGTGTCAGGCCAGCAAAAATCTCAAGGAAGTGAATTATTTCAGGATTTATCCTGCTAATGATGCAAGAACAAAAGATAATCTGAGAGTTGCTGAGAGCATCCCAGAGACAGTGCGTTTCTTTCTAAGCAAAGCAGGGTGGATATGCTGGTTAGAAACACTTAAAACATCCTAGAAAACATTAAAAAAAAAAAAGGCAAATTCAGTCTGCTTCCTAATGGGTTTTGCATGACTGGAAAAGTGAACGTATGACTGAGTTCTTGGAAAGCACTGACGAAAGCTTCTAAAGCAGAAACCACTGTAGTTCATGGGAGTTTTTGAGTCACAGAGCCAGGAGTTACCAGTGCTGTCAGACAAGTGAGGAGTGTCTTCTAATGTCTTCTAATTCTTCATGTGTCTATAAATGGCTTTGTTTCCTTCAGCTCTATAGTGCTGGTGACATCTAAAGGAAGATTCATTTCCAAAGGACCATGGACAAAAGTACTGGAGAAACTTGGAGCAGCAGAGGGTTTTAGGTTAAAAGGTAACTACTTTTTTAAAATATAATTAAAAAAAAAAACACTTTTGATATATTCCCCCACCATGGTCCTAGTAAAGGGACCTTTTGTCCTGCTCCTAAACTCTGCCTTGCTTATTTCTGTAAGCATGCACTTAAAACATCCTGGAAACAGTCATTTACTATTCATTAATGTTATATCCAATGCAGCTTTGGATAATAGCATACAGTTTAATACTGTAGATGGAAAAAGTGTTCTGGCAATTGTTCTTAGAAGTAAAGAGTTCTTGTACGTTTTTTTGGATTTTCCAGACTAGTTTTAAATAAAAAGGTAGTTTAATAAGAGAAATATTGGACTTTCCCCCCCCCCAAATGCCTCAAAACAACATTTTTGATATTGTCTAAACTTATTTTTAGGTGATTCTCTCTTGAAATAAAATTCTAGCTTGATGGCACAGAGCGTCTCAATTTCAGCAGTGTCATACACCTTACCAGAATACTGTTCTGTTGCAAATGTTTCTCTGATCAGTTCTAAGTAACTGTGAGCTTTTGTGCATGCTTTCCTTTTGTGTGTGTTATACTAGCTAATGCCTTTCCCAGGTGTGGAAGGGTTTTGAGTATAAACATCATGCAAATAATGTTAGTTCCAATGTTAGTCCAGACAGCTGCAACTGCAGGCTCTGAAAGGGTTTTTCCTCACCTCTTTCTTCTCTGCTAGGTATCACATAGAGGCTATTGTTAATTCATGGAAACATACAACATGCAAATACAGTTATAATTAAACTTCACCAGGAAAGTATTTCTTTAATGGAGAATACATAATTGGCTATTAGCCTTGCAAAGGCTGTATGTGCACTTGTGCTCATGTCCACCTGCATCTGTCCAACTGAGTGGGTGTAGTCACACACATGGGTGTATTTCTGCTTATTTGAAGCCGTGAAACGCTCCTAATGTATGTATATGCTCAATTTGCAGAAAAAATGGCTTTTGTTGGATTCAAAGGCAGCTTCCGCCCTGTCTGGGTGAAGCTGGTCACCGAAGAGGATTCAGCTAAAATCTATCAAGCACTACCAATTCCTGTGGTGAAAAAAATGAAATTATGAGGACACAATGCTTTGCCTTCTGGCTACCAGCACTGCCCCCAATAGATGGACTACTGACTGCTTACAAGAGGCAAATTGTCAGAGTGCTCCAGAGATGTAGCATTTTGTTGTTGTTGTTGTTGTTTTCAAAAAGAGACCTTACTGTAAGTAGCTAGAGCAGCCACGTGTGACGAAAAAGCATTCCTCTGTAATCAGCCTATGTTCTGTGATCATCAGCTACTGTCCTGCTGATTTGCTCATTGATACCATGTTGACTCTCATGTTACAAAGCAAGGTTTGCCTCTTTGTTTCTACAAGGTGCTAGTTTTTTAGCACCCTTGTGACCAGTGAATTTATGTGCTGCCTCTCAAAGGCTGAGTTCTAGATCTAAAGGCCGTTGAGAATTATTGTTTTCAATTGTTTCAGCCTCTGAATTGTCATAACACTCTTGTTTCAGCCTCTGGCTTGTCATAACACTCCTTTTCTTTTTCCACTAGCTGCTCACATAACCATGGAATACTAGTTCAAAGGCTGGCTGAAAATCTAAGATAAAAAGAGTATATTTGAATGATTACCCAGATGCTGGGAAACTTGACTGGACAGTAAGAATTGACCCTAAAGCTTCAAAGACATTCGATCAAGCTCTTTGAGGTCTTTCTGCATTGTACACGCTAACCCATGGCACATAGTTGGGGAAAAAATGATAGAGGAGTGAATAAAGCATACCAGTAAGGACTGATGAAACCGTATCTTTCTGCTTGCTCAGAAAACAGCGGTTCTCCTATGGATCTTTTTTTTTTTGTTAACAGTGGTTGCTCAGATAGGGGGTTTTCCTTAGACGAGCAGCTGTAGGCTAGCAGGAAAGAAGTGTCAATCAGCACCTACACTTCCTCAGCCTTTCCCATACATTCCCTCCATACAACAATATTCAGGACCAATCTGGAGGGCTTATGGTAGCCAAAGAGAGCATCCTGTCCAAGTCTCCAATTTACAGTTGGGAATACTAGGTCGCAGCTGACTCTGCCTCAAATAGGGTGAGTGTTTCACCTTTCCAGGGAGGTCAGAGGGAACCAGGTCAGGCTAGTCTGCTGTGTCTTGCTTTCCTATTGTGTCCTTAGGATAAGAGTATGAGTATCTTAGGCCTCCTCGAAGAGTTACATGAGGCTGGCAGGTCACTGAGATAGGCGTCTTTGAGGTCTTACCAGGTAGCTGAAAAATTAGAGTGGAAACCCCTGTAACTAGTGGAATATCTTGAACCTCCTTTCCCTCTTCTTCAAAGCATAATCTTGTCAGCTAAAAATCTGGCTAACGAAGGCAGATTAGTGTGTCCTGCTGGGACATCTCTTGAACTTGGGAAATTGAACATTATCTTGTAAAACTTTGTAAGCACTTATGGTATTCAGTGATATTTCTATCTGTTGCTCATAAACGGAACAGATAGATAGATAGATAGAAATCAAAGTGTCTCCTGTGGCTCTGGCTAGTCTAAGAAATCTAAGGAGGGATAAAATGTAGGAAGAATAGTTTTTCAGAGCACATAAAATTGTCAGTTTTGCCAATTATGTCTGTGTTTGTTTTTCCCCTTTGCCCCTCTCTTCCACTGCTACTACCAAAATTTTTCTAGTTGCTGATGGTTACTTCGTTTTGCTTTGTTTTAGAGCTCTTGTGACTCAGTTGCTTTTTTTCCATGGTATCCAAAATATATTAGCTTGTGACTAGAATGAAAGAGCACTGATTATGAGTGCCATTCCAAAGGCTGGGCAGATGTCGAACTCCATAAGCCCTGCCTCTAATTTTTAGATCAGTTGCTCTGAAAGACAAAACAGTCATGAGCAAAATTCAGATAGTGCTGTAGGTTACAGGCCCCTCAAGCCTCTCCTGGGTTTTGAAACTGGAAATGTTCTTTTCAGTCTTATTATATAGTTGTTTTGAACAAGTTGAATGTCATGTGTGTTATATTTAAGAAAAAGAAAAGAAAAGAAAAGAAAAAAGAAAGGATCCAAGCTTTCTCTGCCTTGCTTCTCAACAAGAGCCTCTTAAGGAAGGAGTCCTCCCTCCAGCACAATCATTTTTACTCTTGAGACATTTGTGACACTTCCAGAACAGGCAATGCATTTAAAAGGCAAAGAAGTATTTTCCCAATGTCTTATGATGGTTTTGGGATTTCATCCTCAAATCACAAACTATTCCTTGAAAAAGTTAGTCTCACTTATGTTTCAACCTTGATTATCCAAACCTCACTTATTTGACATTCTGTGATGGCCCAAACAGAGCCAGATCCCTGAAGTCTAGCAAATACAGTGAAAAAAATCATTGAATATGTTTGTTAGTCTGAGTTATCTAAATTTATACACTATCCTGAGGCAATTCTGTTCACATAATTGCACCTGTCACACTGTATTAGTGGAACACACATACTCTCAAGAGATGGACCAAAACAAGCATATTTCTTTCATGAACAATTGACAAAACTGCAGAAAGGAGAGCAAGACTCGGAATGTTTCTGGGTTGGGATTTGGTTTTCTACACCGCACCATGGGTGCAGGGATTGCCCTTTGTGGTGCACTGTTTAACTGGGTCACTAGCAGTTTCCCTTCCCTGCTCTTTGTATAAGTGTGTGCCCAGGAAGATCATGCCACGTGGGTCAATCCCCTAGACTGGTTTGTTCAACTACTACAAGCATGTTGCATTTGTGCTAAACTATAGCTTCTAATTTTACAGTTTTTGGAATTCTCAGGGTGAAATCATAAGACTTGGCTCTAGGAAAACTTTTTTTTTTCCTAAAAAAAATCTTATCTTATTAAAAGAAGAGAACTTTTAAGTAGCTTGTTCTATCATGCAAGGCTTGTCACATGGGGCCTGTTTGGAGTTAGGGCTGGGTCTCATGCTGTGAATACGTAGTATAGGATCAGTGCAGTCTTTTAGGCCTGATAGATAATAGAGCATCATAGCAGAGTGTAATGGGGCAGATACTCCTGTGAAATGCAAAGGGCTCCCATTGACGTTTATGGGATGAAGTCAGTGTATTACTCTGAAGGCAGAATTTAGCCTAATATCATCATCAATCAGCAATAGTTTTGTGCCATGTGATTACTTTTTAATATTTGACTGTTCTAGAATTTGCACTTGCACATCTTGACTAGTGAATTAACTGACTGCTTGTATTTGTACAATCTTTTAACAGTCCCTGCACAAGCTGCAGTTATCCTCTTTATAAGGTTTTACTACCACATATATTCTCATGTTTGCCCACACACACAGTTGCCATTGTAAGAGTGATTTCTTTTTTTTTGATTGGATTTTGTTGTTTTGTTTGTTTGAATGTTTGGTTTTTTGCATCTGTTCAAAGGCTTATATTACCTGTCGCCGAAATAGCTGGTCCTTTTTCGGAGTTAGATGTATAATGTTTTGTACATTTTCTTATAGACTTCCCAATGAAAAAGATAGATATATTTTCTATTTATTTATTACAATGGCACTAAGACAACTAAATTGCAGACATATGAAGCATTTTTACTGGAGTTTAGCATTGTCCAGGTTGTTAAGGAGGTCAGCAATATGTCTTTTCTGATAATCTGCTTTGCACTTGAAAGCTCTCTATGTCCGCAGAATGTGGTAATGCATTGACTGTCTATTTTATGATGACAAGAGCTCTTGGAACGTTAGTTCCAAAAGTTTGTGGCTTACAACTGAAACAATATGTAGTTGTTTGGAATACACATTGTTTATCAAAATAAATATTCAATGCAAATTTCTTATTTTATTTTGGTCTCTTGCCTCTTCAGTATCGCTCTGTAACAATGAACTGGTATTTGCTAGAATAGCTCCTGTTCTACCTAACTCAGTTTGCTCAGTCTGTTTTGATAACTTGCACTCATGTGTCTCAGCTTAAATCTTAGTAGCTTGCTTGCCTAAGAAAATAAAACTTCTGCAATTATGCTGGATCTAGAGGGGAGAGAAACACACACAAAACTCCAGCACATCAGCTGAGAGAAAGGTACATAGCTCCTTACTTACTTCAAAAGACAGCAGCTGGGGCCAAAAAAAACCTGTGTACATGTTGGCTGTCAGCACACACTGTGGCACATTTGACTATTTGCCCAGTCAAACTTGTGAGATTAGAGACAAGGAGACATGAAGGAAAGGACATCGGAGCAGGAAAGTGGAGATTATAGTGGACAGAGAGAGGAAGGAGTTGGAAATACTGAGCTGTGCACAGAGAAGGTGAGGGATGAGGAAATGTAAAACAAAAAAATCAATGAAAAAACAAACTTCTTTAGTTCCCCTGTTCACGAAACTTTTTTTTCATTAAATAGGGTGAACATGGAGTAGACAAATATATGTAAATAATATAGAAAATATGTACATGTCAGGAGGTCTGCACAATACATGTGTATTGTACACATGTAACCAATGCATTACTGATATGTTTGAGTTCTCCTTCTTCTCCATAGCTGGAAAAAATAAAAAGAAAAAGAAGAAAAGCTGAATGCAGAGGCAACAGTCTCACCCCACAGCACCACTGCAGGGAAAAAAAAAATGGAGCATCTATTTAATAGTGTAACACAATGAAAGCTGGCAGAGTGCTTTCAGTGTTGAGAACTACAGAGGCTACTACGGGGTCAGGGCAGAGCTGGGCTTTCAGCCCCCTACAGCACTGCTGTGCAGCCGCCCTCCTGCTGCTGCCTTGTTCCTGTCGTGCACCCACATCCTTCCTCTCAGCAGCACAGCCAGCACGAGAAGGCTGTTACCCTTGATGTGGACCTACAGCCAGCGAGGCCTAAAATTATGATTTAAGTTTTTTTTCTTTAAAAGCCTGTCTCAGATGTGGGGAGGAGTCACATGCAACTTCTTAGCGCTTGTTCCGTCTCTCCCTGCCCTCTCTGTTCGCAGGGATGGATGGGCACCAAGTGCCCTCTGCAGCAGCAAGCTCTAGATGGCCACAGTCTCGTAAAGCAAATATTTCCTCTGCAGCCAGCCACAATGAGAGCAGGGGATGTGTGCGCTGCTCCGGCGAGGCAGCACGGCCAGGTGATAAAAATACAGCAGTGAGGATTAAACACAGGGACACCAAACCAGTTCCAGAAAGCCTCATGTGGGGAGCAAGACATGGAGCTGGGGGTGGGGGAGGCTCACCGCCTGCCCACAGGCAGGCCACCTTGCCTTCTACCTTGCCTCCTTTCTCACTCATCCCCTCATTCAGCTCTCCCACCCCTCACTTCCTTTCCACCTTCCTTTCCCCTCTCTATCCCTTCTCCGCCCTCCCCCCCAGCCTAAGGAGCAAAACTCTTCCCAAAAACCACATGGATCCTGGCAGTCATGAAGAAGACAGTAGCATCGGTTCACCTCAGCCTGTCGGCAGGCAAGTAGCTGTCCTTTACACTGGTGGCCTCTGGCCTGCACGTACCCCCAGGACTGCGGGATTTAGCGACTGGTTGGGTTTTTTTGGTACTTACAACACCCCGCAGGCCCATCTGAGGGCTGAGGGAGGTTCTGATGCCCCCCCGGGCCCGGTATCACCGCCGCAGCCCACGGCAGGGCCTTGCTGTAGGAGGGTGAGTGATGTTGCAGTGGGAAGGGGTCCAGAAGAAACCCTGCTTTTACTACATCGGGCGTGGCGGAGCTGTCACATCGCAAGGCAAACGGGAGCCTGGCGACAGAAAGCATCAGCAGACCCAGGCGACTTGAATTTAGTGGTTGATTTCATGAAGATGCGTTAAAACCTCAAGTTTATGTCACTCACCCCCCCCCCCCCCCCCCCGATAGTGCCTTGGCTCTCACTACACATAAGTTAATCACAACAAAAAGAAAAGGCTCCCTTGGCACATAAAGCATTATGCACATATATAAAGGGGTCTGTTTTCCTCTAGGTACAGCTGAAGAGCTGTGTAGCTAGTGATGGAAAGGACCGACAGACGCAGGCATTGCACAGCACCCGGCATACCTCTGCTTGATTCCCTCGATAAATAAGGCACGCGCAGGCGTGTGTGTGCGTGCGTGCGTGCGTGCATGCGTGCGTGTGTGTGTGTGTGTGTGTGGAGATTTCTATGCATATACAGCCATTAGAAATAACTTACTGACAAACTGCATACACAGCTGTTTGCAATGCATTACACTAGTTCCAAGTGCCACAAAACTTATTAGTATATGTATATAGTTAATATACGATAGATACATACTCTAGATGAATACATAGGAGAGACTATATATTAAGTTTATTGCCATTTACGTTATGCTTCATCGGTTAGGAAAGGACGAAGAGAGCGCAGCGGCGGCGGGGCTGAGCACGGCGCCGGCAGGCCCCGGCCTTTCCCCAGCGCCGAGAG